ATATAACATAAATAACGAATAGCAAATTATGTGATTTGATTGGCTAATAATCACATGTAGATTTACAAATTGATCTATGAAACTAGCCAATCAGACAAATTTCTGCCCATGAGTCCTGACTACCACGTAGAGGCGTATCCATATAGTCAGATTACTTTTTCTGGGAAGAAACTTATTATTTTAAGAAAGAAACCCTCTTTTCTTCTAGTGCATATTATCCTCATTTTGAAAAAAGAAAAGCGGCGAGTTACCAATCTATTCTTATTACACTCACAATCTGGGTTCCTCAATTTGTTGAACACATTGCAGCTAAGAAGCATCTTGCCTTACATTATCTGTTACCACCAGAAAGGATTGTAATAAGATAAATTAGTATTTTTTTTGATCCATTATATTAGCAACCTGGGTTTTCTCAATTCATTAAACTCAGCGCAGCTATGAAGCATCTTGCCTTACATTACAATTTGACTGCCAGGAAGGGTAGATGCAAATTCTTAAACAAAGAACATAACCAACTCTTCCTACAGAATCAGTAGACTTTGTTTAAAATTTACTGGGAAGCATACTAGGGCATCTCTTATGACTACGATTCAGAGTGGCCCATTCTTTTCCTACCTACCATTATAATAAAATAGATCAATATTTTATTGTTTTGATTTTGTAATTTTATTTTTATCAAAACAATTTTTGTTTTGATTTCTGATCTTGAAATTTGATTGGTCAAAAATTATAGGATTATCCATTATACTGTATATAAATGTATAAATTAAATTGACGATCATATGATTTGTGTATTTGATAAAGAATTGCTTTTTAATTTTACTCGCATCATCTAAACTTTGCAAGCATTTATACCATTCTTTAAGCTTAACCCAAACACTATTAACATCTGGACATTTTTCTGGATCTGAATCCATGCACTGCTTAGCAAATTCAACATAGCAATCTGGATTTCTGGGAGCAAATTCTGGTTACAAATTTTTATTACATCATTTGATGCAAACTTCTGCATTGTAACAACTATATTAAACAGCTATATAGTGAAACTTTTTGAGACTAGATTATTTATTATTGTTATCATTGTCTTCAATTATTCTACAAAGATAAATAAAGGTAAAGAGAAAATTCATTGATCAATTATTACACAATATGCTAAATATATCGTTACAAGCATATAAAAATATTTTATTTTTTATATTAAAATAATTGCAAATCCGTATAACATAAAATCAATATTCAATATAATAGTTTTAAGTATATTGTAAAATTTTGCAAAGAATTTTTTATTAGAATATGCAACGCTGTTTCATAAGCAAAATATTAAGATATTATCAATTTCTTTAAAAAATGAAAATTTAACAATGTTATAATATAAATAAATTTTATTAAGCATGTTAATCATAATTATCTATTTAAAAATATAAATACAATTATTACTATTTACATATTATAAAATAAAATTATTATTTGTATACATACCAAAGTATTTGAGATTTAGTAATATCAAACTCAATTTGAGCAGAATCCCATTGCGACAAATCTAAATAAAAAAATTTATTATTTTAAATAAATATACATAACTCGATTAATATATTAGTTGAAAATAAATAAATACTTTTAATCTCATTTGAAATTAAATTTGTGCTAATAAGTTTGCTAGTATACATTTCATCAGGATGTTTTGGTATTAGCAATCATTATCGTCTGAACTATCTAATTTCTTAAGCCAATCTTCAATTTTTTCATAAAGATCATAAGTTTTAGGGCATTTTTTTGGATCAAAATCCATACATTGCTTCACCAGTTCAACATAGCAGTTGGGAGTTTCAGATGCAAATTCAGGACACGATCCTTTGCAAATCTTTACAGCAAGTATTATATCGAATTCATCTCCATCAAAAGATCTTTGTCCAGTCGACATTTCTGACATAATGATTCCGAAGCCATAAATATCGGCAGCTTTTGACCTAATAAAACCTCTGGTGCTATATAAAGAATAATTCTATAAATATCGCCTAAATTATTTTCATCTATTTTTTTGGACAATTCTAGATCTGAGATATATAATTGCATATTTTCACTAATGCTTTCATCTTGTAAAATATTACTACTGTAAAAATCTGCATGAACATAATCTGTAAAATGAATCATATGTAAGTTCTATAGAATATCTTTAAGTAGTTTTAATTTAGTTTGCCAGGTAAGAACACAAAAATTTTTTCTTAAAAACTTGCGAAGACATCCATTAT